AGACGATAGGCTACTCTAGGCCAACGACTGCCAATGTACAAGTATGCACCACATGCCAACCGGAAAAACTTAATTTATGAATAAGTAAATGCAGCGGAGAGAACTAATGTATGTAAATATGGTGACTGGAAATTTTTGAGACAAAAGCAGAATGGAGGGAAGCCTACAAAATAGGAGACGAATATTAAGAAGAAAAAATAAAAATTAATAACCGAAACAAACCTCTGTGGCTCATTGAAAAACTTGTTTTCCTTTTTTAAAGCAGGCAACCACGATCTCATCTGGAATGCACAATCAAGTGCTGGAGGTGTGGCATATGCCACTTGCGCCAGAGAACCAACAGCGACACGCCAGGCCACGCGAATAAGCAAATTAAGCGTGTTAACACATAAAAGTTTAGTAAAGTAGAATAATACATATAGATTGCCGGCAACGGGTGAACAAAGGTCAGCAGCATTTGCCACACTTTTGACTTTACCACTTGTCTATCGATATGTTATTCATAGTTTTTCAGCCATTTCCACTGGCATACGAACTTGTGTGGATATTTTTAATTTAATTAAAATACAAATTCAAGAATAGAAATACATATGCAGGTACATATGTGCATATAAGACGACAGTAATGGCAGCGCGGGGCAGCAACAGCAGCAAGAAGTCAGCCAAACGAGGCAAAAAGTCAATGCGCCGGCAGCTATGTACTCAGCTCAGTGCTAGACGGCCGGGTGATTGCAGTCGAGGCAGTCAACTGTTTCAGTTAGTTTGTGATCGCACGTTGTAGATCATTTTATTTTTAGTTAGTTTTTTTTTTGTCTCTCAATTTTATGATTTTCTTTATTTTGCTTGCTTGGCGGCTTTAATGTCATGCAATGCTAGGCCGCGCGGCAGCTCAAGCACAAAATGAAGAAATACGTATGCGTCGCGACGCGCGTATTCAAACAGACTTTGCGGCAAAAACACGCTAGACCCACATGCAACAGCAACAAAAACAATAAAAAGTGATACGTGAAAAAAATTCAAAAGAAAAAGCGGAGCAGTAGTTGCCGCCACCGATAAATCTGTAGGTAAATAAATACAATCACAAAATCAAATAAAATAAAGTCGCGTTAGGCCGCCACACACAATGGGCGCAGTCTCAAAAAAGGCGTCGGCGACACGAAGTGTGGCGAGGCGAGGCGAGGCGGTGCACAGAAGTAACATACAAATGTGTGAATAAGTGACACTTACGCCGCCACCGCGCGCCACAATGCACTGAACAACTTTCATACATCTATATAAACATATCGTACAGCATGCTGCATGCAACACATGGCACCACTTTATGCCACACCACTTTAGACGCTTCACAGGCAACGCTCTAGTGGTTCGCATATCGCATCTTGCAGCGCTCGAAACTCGTAGTTTCCGCATTCCACGGATATATCACAAAATCAAGCGACGCAAGATGCACAAATGCGATCGGTATACGGCTAGCTTAACTTTTTTCTCACTACTCAACTACAATCTACTTGGAGTGTTGTTACTTCGTTACTTATTGCACCATTCATTGCGCATTCAAAAGTCTGTATGTACATACATACGTGCCACTGTTGCACTGTCACCGGCAACATGCAATGAATTCGTAGTCATTGCTGCAACGCGCTTAATTATCAGTTGAAATGCTAGTTAAATTTGCCAGCCAACAAGCCTTACTCACCCAATCAGCTATGTAACCCAAATTCGGCGGCACAATACAACCGACCCGCTGGCTGGCAGGCTGGCGATAATCATCGCGTCAGCCAACTATAAACAACAACTAACGAATGGCCGAGCGGCGCACTCATTGACAGTTTTTCATTTTTATTTCTGTATTTCCTATTTATAGATGATTGCGACAAGGAGTCTCAAGCTGATAAGCAAAATTGTTGTATGTGAAAAAAGGAAATATTTTTACTGTACAATGCGGAAGGATGAATGTGTTCTTATATAGGGGCAAAGAGGACACTGATGCTGGATGCCTATAACTTCTTGATCAAATATTTTTTTTTTATATTGCATTACTTTGTTGTTGTTAGTTACAGCATTTTTGACAGATATTCCATGGAAAATTATAAAAAAAAGCTGCAACTAACTTTAGTGTCGACTTTATTTTGACTGCTAATACGCCCCATACACATTGTGGGTGTTAACGCCTGCTTGGTTTTTAGGTTATCTGGTTAAAAATTAACTATAGCCACATAACCAGATAACCTGATAGCCAGACAGGTGTCTTATTAACAAAGATCGTCATCGATGCTTGCAGCTGAGACATATTTAAGTGTCCAAATAAAAATTATATTTCGATGGCTGAGTAGAAGAACGACCTACAGTGACGAACAAAAGTATTGGCACAGTGAATTTTTCGCCATATATGCAAAGATTTTTATTCTAATTTATTTTCGATAATTTTTTATAAAAATATAGTTCATTCTACACCAGAAAACTTTATAATGAAAACTCTAAACTTTGTGCAAAACTCAGGAAAATTCATTAAATTTGCACACTAATTTGCAACTTTTTATTCAGATTTTCTAGAAAAATCCTAAGTATGCAGTTTTATAGCCCATTCAAAATAAGAAAGTGCAAGTTTAAAGTTGCTAGAAAATCGCGTACAAAAAATAATTGTCGAATTACTTTGTATGGAAGAACTTGCGTGAAAAAAAATTACCAAAAATCAATGCGATTTTCTAGCGACTTCAAACTTGCACTTTTTTATACTAAATATAAAACTGCATACTTAGAATTTTTATAAAAAATCTGAATAAAAAGTTGCAAATTAGTGTGCAAATTTAATGAATTTTCCTGAGTTTTGCACAAAGTTTAGAGATTTTATTATTATGTTTTCTGGTGTAGAATGAACAATATTTTTATAAAAAATTATGGAAGATAAATTAGAATAAATAACTTTGCATATATTGCGAAAAATTCACTGTGCCAATACTTCTGTTCGGCACTGTATCTCGGCAGCCAGTTAAAAAACGCCTAATCTAAGAAAACTTTTCAAGAACGCTCTACTTCAGAATTTTATTGAAAAACGCCCTGCTTCAGAATTTTATTGAAAATGCCCTATTTCAGAATTTTATTGAAAAATATCGTATCTCAGAATTTTGTTGAATAACGCCCAATCTTAGAATTCGGTTCAAAAACGCCGTATCTCAAACGAAAATACATTGAAAATAAGCTGAGATAGGGCGTTTTTGATTGGCAGCTGAGGTAGGGCGTTCTTCAACCGAATTGTGAGATAGGGCGTTTTTCAATAAAATTCTAAAGTAGGGCGTTCTTGGAAATAGGTCGATCTTCCACTCAGCCATCGATTTGATGTCAAAATTGTATGTATAATGGTATATTGGAGATTATGCAATAAACTAAGTTTGGCCGTTTTTTTTTTTTAATTATTAAATTTAAGAAATTAACAGGGCGATTCTTTTGTCTTCCGAAAGACTAATTGAAAGATCTGATAGCGAAGAGGTCTTAGTATTATTCTGATTGTCTTTTAGCAAAATGTTTCCAAAACGTAGCAATAGAAGAATCACTTTAACATGGTGGAACAGTTTTGTTTAGACAATATAAATTATTTAACTAAAAAAATTTAATGAAATGAAAAAAATACTTTTTTTTTTAATTAATTAAAACAAAAAATTAAAAGAAAACTAAATTAAAAAAGAAAAAAGATAAACTAAAAGAACAAATTTAATTTAAAATAAATAAATAAAATGTATTTTAAACAAATGGAAAAAGAAAGAAAATAAATTAATGAAAAAGAAAATAAAAAATTGAAAAACTGAAGAAAAATTCCGCTGTCCGAGGTTCGAATCCTCGCCAGTGCTTTGCTCATTCGAGCATTGCGACTGTTGGAGTAGTGCGAGCAAAATGACAAACATACATACATACATACTTAATCATCTCCATTTAGAGTGATTTCTGCCAAAAGGGAGTTTTTTGTAAGGCTTTCATGACAAAAGAAGCAAAATATTTCAAACTAAAATTGACCTGTAAGGGTCTTACAAACAGCTGTGGGCCGCAAGTGTCCCTGGAGGATCGAGAGGCTTTGGCTTGCTTATTTTTGTTGACAATGGGCAGGGGGAGGGGGTCAGGATGATTACTACGTTTGCAATATTTATTTATTTACTTTTCTTATTCTTCTAAAAAAAATTGGTAGCTTCTAATTTGAACAAATATTGTATTGAAAATTTGATTTGATTTGATTAAATTTGTAGGCTATTAATTACTTATTTCTAGGCTTCATAGCCGCTGGTCATGAAAAACAATAAAGGAACATTAACAGTTAAAAAAAAATTATTACGTATGCATAGGAGTGGGAGACAATTACTAAAACTCTGCTTACGTAATACTTGAATGGTCCCTAAAAGGTAGTGTTCATTCACAATTAAGTAGTCAAAGCCTTTTCACAATTATTTTTATAGCGGGTTAAAGTACTCGCTATTAGTACACAAATACAAAAGTGTCCTGCAGTAAAATTTAGACTTCATTTTTTCTACCATTATGTGTACTTTCTGCTTAGCCCTTTTGTATGACATTTTAACCCTCCTGTAATTTTTAGTTAAGTTATTCAAATATAATTTTTAACCATCTAACTGATATCGATATGATTTCGTTTACGTTCACGCTCTCATTCTGGCATCCCTGCACGTAACTCGGGGCTTCCGGTGGGGAGGCCTTGCCAGAGCGAACCGAAAAGGAGGTCATACCACGACACGACAGTAATGAAAGAACTTTTTTATTTTTTTATTTTGTCAGATATGAGTTTCATAGGCCACTGTCAAGGTCAAAATTCAACAAAAAATTTAGCCAGTATACCATCACTTTGTTATTGTCAACTCATTTACTACTGATTACATTTTGCTACTGGGATACAGTGCTATATGTATCTATAGTTTAAAACCGACAGGAAAAGGCCATCAGGAAAAGGTCATACCAACAAAAGATTAAACTGTTCTGAAGCTTACAATAATGCATACGCACCTTTATCCTTAAATCCCTTGTCGCTTCTTTGGAATTCAGAGAACTGCATTGCTTTTGAAAAGCGTTAATCTATAAAACAAACTAACGGGATTTCTGTAGCGCACTTAGTCGAAGACAATTCGGTACCTAGTGATTTAATCATCCATAATTAGCAATACATACCTGAAAGAAAATAAATTTTATTAATTAGATCAGAATTTTAGTCATAATCATTTTATATAATAAGTATAATTATTATAAGTTTTATTTTATGTAAATAAATATATAATCTTTTTTTTTTACGATATTGACTTCCTTAAACAAACCTCGAAAGACTGACTGCACTAACAAAAAAGAAAGGGAATCGTCTCAAGCCCTTTAAAAATAACTAACTTTAATTGGCTTATGTTTCCAATTTCTAGCAAAGTGAAATTTTAATATTAGTCCGGTAATCCAGCGAAGAAGAAATCTTGCCTTTAGGTACGACTTTGGATCACTCGGAAATTAAAAATAGGAGCCGTATCTCAACGGACAAAATGCGAATGCCATTTTAAATTTCATTTCTTATTAATAATTCATTCTTTGTGTTTGCTGGGCCTTGTCACACACTGCGTATGATTATATATGTATGTACATAAGTGCTTGTACATACAGATGGCATAAAAAGTCTGCATTCACCCCCCCCTGTATTAAAGCGTTAAATTACAAACATTTTTTTTTATTTCAAAATTACTAGGAATCTCTCTTTACTAATATTGAAGACAATCATTCGAAGAATGAATATATTCGCAAATTTCGCGGAATTTCAGTTGCGTCTTTGAGAGTTAACGGAATTAAATGAGCGATACTCAAATGAATTAATTGAGTAGAAAAAGAGTGCGTTCACATCACATAGCACACACATAGCAGCGCAACATAAGTCCTTGTGAAGACTAATCCTCGACTGACACTAAGCCAGATCGTAAAGGAGATAAAAGAAAAATTCCATAAGCAGGTATGTATGTATGTCCGGATACAATGCTTAAAAAGGCCGGAATTCACGGCAGGGGCGCACGATAAAAGCCATTTATTTCAAGAGCAAATCGACTTAAGCGGATGGCCTTCGCAAAGGAGCACTCAAATAAGCCTCCTCTCTTTTTAAATAAAAGATCATCACGCTAATGTGTATGTGGTGTGGGAAATTCTGTTTGTATGGGAGGTGCCACGCCCTCTTTTTTAATTACTCCCATTTTTTCGATGAATTTGGCGTTAATATCATGTATCCGTATTTCTATACTAAGTTGCAGCACTCTACGATGAATATTTTCAGAGGTGTGTTGTGTGAAACCTTTAGTTTGTATGGAAGGTGCCACGCCCCCTTCATATATCGAAATTACTTTCCTTCTATTATCATCATTGGAGGGTCAAAATATTCTATTCGTATAGATAACACATTATATAAATTTTTTTAATTAAATATATCCTATGGAAAAATGTTTATGAATAATTTTTTAAATAATTGCAGGCATTTGAAACTAATTTCAAGTATTTTCCAAAAAATAAAAATGGAAGCGTTCATACGTAAAAATTATTTTTCTTTCTTTTTTCGACATAAATGAATAGGAAACTGGATATTTACTTCCAAAACCGCCACGGTTAGCTTGAAATTTATTTATCTTTTATTAAAAAAAAAAAATAAACTTGAAATCTGTTCGTATTTGGGCTCCCAACATTGATTTGTCCACAGCAATCTTTTTTGGCCCACTATGCGCCGCGGCTGGAATTTTTTCCAATATTTCCCACTGGGCGTTGTGTCATTTTCAGTGATGACGTAAGGTTAGAGAAGAAGTCGTAACAATGGGAATAAAGTAAAGCAAATAATTTTGAACATGTTTCAGTTTTAATGTCATACGTAGTACATAACATGTTAGGCACTATTTTTATTATCAAAGCAAAACAAATTGTAGAAAAAACACATTTTTAAACAGCGAATGTGTTTATGTACAAACTGAAATACCACACTCACAAAACAGATGCTAGTTCGGCAAAAAAAATGCTGAAGCAGACATCCGATAAAATCAAAAAAAAAGAAAGAAAGCGAAAGCGACTAAAAAATAAAAATGCTAAATGTTCTTTTTTCGTGCACTTCAAGCCATTACTATCTCTGTGCACTTAAGTAATTACCAATTAGAATTTCCACAAGGTGCTATAAAAGAAAAAATAATAATAAAAAACGAGCACTACCAAGAATGCGCCGATAAATTGCAAACCTTATATGTATGCTTCAACTTATGGAATGCTTGATAGAAGCAGTCATATTTAAAATTAGCGATATTATGAACAACTTAAAAGAGATACAGTGCAAAAGAAAGGAGTGTTGAGGTAATTTTGTGGGCACGATTTTTTATTTTATTTTTTTTTTGTTTACACTAAGCACTTCGATAATGATTGCAACAAAAACACTTTAACTATAGGTAGGCGCATACACAGCTCATAAGCCACATTAAAGTTAAATTGCGATTAAAATTATTGATAACTTTCTATGAACCCACAATTTCAAGGCAATTTTGCAACGTACAAACTAACTTCACGGTTCGTGGGCTTTGTTCAAACTTTGAAATTACAGACCACATACTAAATGACTGCTTTAGAAATCGCAAATCGAATCAAATGCAATTTGAGACTGAAGTGAAAAAAAATTATATGAAAGATATGCACAGATTTATGAAAGAAATAAAAGCGCAATGAATAGAAATAGACGAAGCAGCAATAAGTTTTGAATATGCAAGGAGTAACACAAAACTGCATACATACTTACATATGTACATACATTTAACATAGAAATGGAAAAAAGTTCAAGGAGACAATTATTATAAGAATAAAAATAATTGAAATCAAGCCATAAAAAAGAGACACAGAAAAATTTCGAAAAGCTAAATTAAATATGTATGTACATACATAGCACTCTACCGCTCAGAGTGGTACAAACAAAGGAGTGAAAAAGAGGAAGAGCCTAAGAAATGATTTTATGTTTTTTTTAACATAATTACAAGCTGTTTTCAGTCTTAATAGAACTGACACACTTTAATAATTTATTACAATTTAACACGCTTCAACCCCCACAAAATCTCACTGCGAATTAAAAAGTAGTATTTAACTCGAAACAAATTTAAACTCATTTATCGTAATTACAATTTATGTAAAAAAAAAACTACATAAATTGCAAATGAAGAAGATCTTCACAGGGGTTGCCCAATCAGCACTCAGTCAGCACTCACCCGCATACGCATACATATACATATATGGGTCATTCCACATCAAATTTAAAACTGAAAAATAGATTTGCCTGAAATATTTTTTTTTGTGTTCTAGATGCAGTATAAACCGACACGTATTTTTATATTTTAGCTTCGCTTTCGACGCTAGTTTGAAAAAAAAAACATGAAGTTGGTGGTGATTGCATGTTGCCATTCGAACACTTTTTCGGATTTAATGCTGTTATTCGAACATATTTTTAAGAAAAAGTAGCCATATGAACTTGTCCGTATATTTTCATTGTGAGCAAAAATATTCTTTTACATGATTTTTAGGACATAAAAACCTTTAAAAAGGCAAATATAAGAGCGAAATAGGCAGGAAAAGGTACTAGACATCGCAAAAAAGGCAAAATAAGGCGCTAAAAAAAGACTAAATAAAACCGACAAATTAGCAAAAAATACGTTTGTTTTAGAAATGTTTATGCTATGAGCTAGTTGTGTTTATACAAATTTAGAACAATTGCATATTATTTATGTAAAAGAGCTTAACTTTTTTTTTATTCATCGTTACTTAAAAAGTGTAGACGATTATTAACTTAACCCGTGAGTTTCGATTTTTATATGAATTCGTTGAAAAACTACAAGGTTTTGAAATATCGTTTCGTAATTTTTGTTAACAATTTGAATGACCCATACTATGTACTTTCTCAGGCGCCCATGTGATCATGTATATAGTCAGTCATGTGTACATTTAAGAGGGGCTTAATTCAATTTCTTGCTGTGGAATGTTAACTCAAATGCCGCTTACAAGCGCAATCGTACATATTCTATGTGTATATGTATGCACGTAAGCTTCAGAACATAAATAAAATTATTATGATGGTAAGGCTATGGTGGCTGCTCTCATTGCAGTGAACTTTATAACAATTTTATCATTCATTTGCATACATTTTCGTATAATAAAGAATTCAATTCATTGATATCAATTATTCAATTCAAATAAATGCGTATATACGTATACCATATGTATGTGTGTACATTAGGATGGTCCAAAATAAGTAAAGTCGGAGCTTTAATACTCCCACCCCCTAGGACTGTTTTATACCGAAAAAAGTATACCCTGATTTTTTTATTTTGAAATCAAAAAATGCTTGGAGGTCGCCAAAGTGCTCAAAGTTTTTCATGTATTTTATATGTAAAAAAAAAAACTATTTTTCGTAGAAATGGTATAGAAATCTTGAAAATCAAATTTTTCGATCGGAAAACTTTGTGTCTCTTCAGGAGACTTTGCATAATAATACCTAATGGTTAATGTAACCATTTTTTAATATTAACAATTTTTATTAATGTGTCTTTTAAAAACCCAAAAAACAGGGGTATATTTTTTTCGACTTAGAATATCCCAAGGGGGTGAGAGCATTAAAATTTGACCTTACTTTTTTCCCACATGCGTTTTTGGACCACCTCGTAGGAAGCTTACTAGTGCCGCACCAGTGCCTGCACTACATATTTACATAGTACATACATATGTACGAGGGTTGTTCATTAAGTCAGTGATATATTAAACATATTTGCCAACGATGTTTCAACTTCTTTATGGCTGCGACTTAGTTAGTACACTTTACCAAACTTAGCAAAATAAGCCCATCTACAGGTATTACTTATTTCAGAATTGGATGCAAATTTCTTTACAGCAATATTTTCATATTTGGAAATAGATAAAAGTCGTTCTCACGGGACCAGATTTGGAGAATACTGAATACTGTTTCCACAACGAAATTCTCTCTACAACTGATGAAGCATTCCAAATGACGGTGCAAGCTTGATCTTTCTTATGCTAGTATTCAGTAAGTCAGTATCGTCTGAAGTCACTAAATGTGAGGCTATAAATTAGTGCCTCTTTTTGTGACTTAAGGCGATCTGGAAGTATTCAGTAAGAGAAAGTCG